CATTACCTTTAGGAATGAGAAATCAGAATCCCAAATGCAAGCTGGACCAGACACTCTACTGAAGACAGTGATATACCAGTTTATTTATTTACTTATCAGGGAATTGAAAGGCAGGTGGGGTGTTACAGTGCTGATTCTGCACCTCTCTGGTCTGGGACCTGCACCCTGCTAGGGAGTTCACTTGCAGAAAAGGGGGGATGAAAGGAAGAGGTTCTGGAGATGATGAACAGGATTTAGGAGAAGAAGGGCATTACCTCATTCCCAGCCTGGTCAGCTCTGAGGTTCACAACTGTCCTCCAAATCAGCCCAAGTACAGAGTGGCACTGATGCTATGACATTGTTTTCTATTACAGAACTACCTCTCCCTGCCCCTTGGTTCACCCTCTTCCCCATTTCCTGAAGACCACAGCTCTGTAGCCTTGAGTATCAGCCACAGGAGCATCTAAGTATGCCAGGCTGTTCAGAGAACTTGTCATATTCAGCTGGAACTGACCTGAGCACAATGGTGAGGGATGCCAGATACTACATACCCCTTTCCAAGTCTTTATTTCCTGGAACAGATCCTTCTGGTTCTCTTCTCTTGATTTATCATCATCCACTTTCCTGTTCTTAGGTCAAGATAAAAGGCAACTAAGGATGGAGCAAATAGGATAAGATTAAGGCAAAAAGATAAGTGAGGGCTGAGCTGGTGGAGCTTTGGAAACAAAAGTGCAGAAATTTGAGATTGTCACAAAAGATTAAAGAATTCACAGAAAGGGAGGGAAGGGTTTGTGTATGCAATGATGTCAACAGAGAGAAAGCCTGGCAAATAAAGTGTTATCTCCCAGAAAGCTTGGTTTACTTTGGCCTGAGTCACGACTGCTGTGGAGGCAAACATTAGGCTTTGATCACAGCTGCCATAATCTTCCCCTGACACCCAATAATGAAAGCAACAGAAACAGGGTAAAGCATGGCAGATGTCTGGCTGAGATGAAATTGCATTTGAAGAGAAAAACAAAAAGGTAAAGTCCTGCCGAAGGTGGAAACAAGAGGTGACAGGACAGGGCCTTTTTGAGAAGGTAACTGGCTGGAATGGACTGTGATTTTTCCTCCTGTAGATAATACAAGTGTCAGTGCAGAGGTGATGTGCCACCCACTGTCAGCAGAAGCCCTGTTTTGGTGGTTTTCTTTACTGGCGAACAGGTGAAACAGCTCCTGCCCCAAAAATTTACCTGTTTCTTTCAAGAAAATGCATGGCAAGTGTTGGAATAAGAGGAAGGTTAATTAGAGGCAGAAAGTTCTGGGGGAAATATCACTTGGTGGCAGAGGCTGACCATGTTCAGGAGTTTACATCATGTCATTTCTGGGAAACTGCTGCTCCTAAGTTACTTTGATTTGGAGGCTCACGACCCCTTGGGTTAATCTCACAGGATGGTGGTACAGCAACCGATCCTCACTTCCCCATTCAGAGATACAAACAACTCCCTTGTTACATCTGCCAGTGTTCTTCCAGCAGCCCTTCTGGTCCTTGGAAGAGGACCTTTCTCTTGATCAGTTTTCTTACAAGCCCACTGTCCCAATGCACCTCTGTCTCATCTAATCCCAAGAGAGTCCAGCTTTCAACAATTTTTAGATCAATGAATTTCATCCAATGCTGGTCCAGCCAGGTCTCTACATGAGAAAATGGGAATGAGAGCAGCACATCATGAGTGCCCATATTCCATGGGAGTTTCACTCCCATGTTTCACCAGCACTAGAAACTAGGGATTTCATGAAGCAGTCAACAATCTGGAGTAACAAGTTTTTTGTACAACTCACAGAAATTTTCCTTCTGAAAAGGATGTTTTTCACAGGGGATCCACTGAGAAAAGATTTTGTGAAGCAGAAGAGGGTGAGATAAAATGGGGAGGAGTAGAAAAGGACCAGGATATACCTAGAATCCATCTGAAACTCTGATAGAGACATTTCTGTGTTGAGGACTGAACAAAGAGAGAAGTTCACACTGACCTGCAGTCTTACACACTCACACAGAGGATTTGGCTTATGGAATAATTGCTTCTAAATGGACACCTCAAGTTGAATACAGTCCTTCCTGAAGGACTTCCCATTGAATTCTGGCCTTTAAATTGAACATTTCACCTCTGTCAACAAGAATGATTCTTGAGGGAGGGGTGTCTTTGTTAAGGGATGCACAGAGCTGAATGTAGGAATTCCAATCCTAATTTATCTGAGGCAGACAAAATTTGTTTCAGTGCGAGCATTAAGCATCCTGCAGCTTGATGTTAACTGATAAGATTCTTGCTTACTCTTGGCACTTCCTTTTGTAAATGAATCACTGTTACTTCCGCTTCCATGCCCACCACTCCACTTGGTTCCTTCGTAATTTTACAGCTTCCTGAACTTGACACTGGAAAATCGATAAGTAATTTAGTGCCCAGTAAATATAGATGAAAACAAGTTATTTTGTACTTTTATAAATATTTGGAAACCAAAACTATCTAAGAAAACAGCTGCTTAGTTGACTCAGCAACCCATCCATCAGCATCACACAGTTAATTGCATAAGATCATAAACATTTATAATTAGAAGGCAAACAAACAAGAATTTTATAAACAGCCCTCTTGAATCAGGCTGCGCATTAAATATTTGTGATAAGGTAATTAAGAATAGATTTACAATCCTGGCTCGATGTTTAATACTTTGTAGAATGGATTTGATTCTATGGAGAATGTTCTACAGCCAAAGAGAAAACATTTCATTTTGGCTCTTTTATCCCAGGCTTAAAGTGGTCTCTGAGAAACACTGAGAAACATTGATCAGAGTGGAATTTCATTCATTACCAGTCAGACAGCTCATTTAAATGTATGTCTAATGTCCCTTGTCATGGGCTGATCCATTTCAGGCATGCTTCAAAGCTCTGTCTCTTTGGCTGGATCTGCAGGCTTTGCCTAAGTCCTGCTTTTTTATGGTTGATGCTTTGATCAGACCACGTCAGAATTCTCAGCCACGTTTCAAGGCAGGCAGGAAAATCCACATTTTTCTGTTATGACATCATGGGGTTTGCTTATAAAAAGCCAGCAGCAGTACAGGGTTACAGCTGTGCAATCTTAGTGGCCTGTGGGAACCAGAGGGTAGAGCTCTCTTGTACTGTAGTGCCCTACATCATTCCCTGTCCCAAAATAGTCAGATCTGCATACAAGATCCAGTAACTCCACTATCCAGCGGAGTTACTTCTACAGCCAGTGAGCAGGCTCAGCACCCCATTTCAATGAATGTGAGTCCCCTGAAACTAACCTGTGATCAAGTCAGCAGGGCTCCTAGTTATGCTTAGAACCAGGGAGGCTGGAAACTCAGACTGTACTGAAGCAGTGATTTAAACTCTCTAACATAGATGCTGACACTAAGAAACCAAGTGTCTGCATCCCATCAGTGAGTAATGGGGAGCCCTAAGGGTAAGGTGACCTTCAGATATTTTGGGGTCTGATGTGGCACAGGTTTTCTCCAGTAATTATCTGCCATCAGAAACTAGAACTATCTGGAAAAGCTAGGTGGTGGGTAGAGCTGTAGCATTTGGTTAATCAGGAATAGCTGTAAACCACTTAATTCTGTGGTGCCCATAATCTCTTTACGCATTGTTGGTCAAGTCAGCCCCTTTGTTCAGGTATGGGATTGATTCTTGTGGGTCTTGTTACTGTATTTTTATGCTTGCAAGGCAAGCAAGAAGGAAGGCAAGAGAGGTACTCTTCTTAGAAAGGTTTTTGGTAGTCTTGATCTTGACCCACAATGGTGAAGCCATCCATGTGCTAACTCACCCAGTCCTGCCTGCTGGTCTGGCTTCAGTTACGTAGGACACAAAGGCACTTCCCTAAGAGACAGATGGCTGCAAAGCAGGGACACTCAGACTCCCCTCATTCCACACAAATCCCACTCTCTACCAAAGCTTGTGAGATACATTAGTGTGCCAGCTAAGCCAGTCTGCAGGAGAGATTGCAGTTTCTTCCAGCCTCCCTGGAGAAGAAGACCTGTGTTTCAGCCACTGCTAGACCTAGTACTTTCACACGGTCTAGACAGAGTCTGGCAACTTCAATAATCATAGCAGAGCTTAATATTCAAGTACTCAAGGTCATCATCCAAGCAACTACATTTTTTAACTCCTTAGTCCTCATGCAAGGGTGGGGAGGATGGTGGAGACAGCTGGGAGATAACTGCTGGCTTACTGAGGGACCTGAGCTGCTCCTCATGAGCACAGAGATCATTAACAGTTTGGTGTCCTACAGCCCAGAGCCGTCCCCAGACATCAGCCCTGTGCGTGTGGGCGGACAGCAGGACACAGGCACTGCCTGCACACCTTGCACACACTGTGAGCTCCTCTGCCCTTTCTGTCAAGTGTGCTGAGCTCCCCCTTGAAAGGAGGCAATGACATTCAATGAGGTACCTGCTCTGCGGATGAGCAAAACTTTGCCTTGGATAACAAACCACTTTTGGGTATAGACAGACCTCTTTTTCGGCTCAGTTGCTGCCTCTGGCCTCCACATGTGTGTCTGCTCTGCTGCTGTGTGGGGTGTGCACATGGGCTGTGCACACACACGGCACTGGTGCAGCAGCCGTCACTGACACGTCAGCTGCAGTTACACCCCCTCCAAACACACGCCTGGGCTTGGTGAATCATGCCTATGCAGCATGCAAAATTAGCCCAGTGAGAGATAAACCTTGGGCATTTGTTGGTAAACAGATACTCTTGCTGTAAGAGCAGAACTCACTGTGCTCCATTTACGATCTGTTTATCGATGGCTGAGATAAAACTGTAATCCCTTTAATTCAGGGGGAAAAGGGATCCAGCAGAGGAGGAGCACCAGCGCTCTGCCTGTCAGTAAATAAAATACAGGATTTATCATTCAGAAAGCACTGGCTGGAGAGCTGATCTTAACCAGTTAACTGGGGGATGATGCTGGGGAAGGTTTATGGTTATTTCTAAAGTTTTGTTTGTGTTTTATGTTTATTTCTTTCCCCCTTCCCTCCAGGTCTAATAATACACGAAGGGCCCTCGGTTTACCGGATTTTTAAACGGTGGCAGGCGGTCAATCAGCAGTGGAAAGTGCTGAACTATGACAAAACAAAGGACATGGAGGAGCAAAAAACAGGGACCAGGACAAATCAGCGCCCCTCCTCCCAAACCACCCACTCATCCTCCACTGGTGGTACAGCCACTAACTCCGCTCCAGCCGACAGCGGGGCACGGGCTGCCGGCCATGCCACAGGCACCCTCTCTGACCACCACTGTGCTTATACCATCCTGCATATACTCAGCCACCTGAGGCCTCACGAACAGAGGAGTCAGTCTAGTAGTAACAGAGAGCTCGTCATGAGGGTCACGACGGTCTGAGCCGAGGAATTCAGGAGGCCTTAACACGAAGCGGAGGAGACAAAGAACTCATAAAGCAGAGGAGCATGGTGTGCCTTTTTCTTTCTCTTTCCGTTTTTTTTTTTTCTTTTTTTTTTTTTTTTCTTCTCTCCTTTTCTTTTTTCAGTAACTGCACAAGATATAAGAGGCGGCACCTGGCCAGCTAAGGAAAAAAGCAGGTGGAGGGAGAGCTGCACACTCATGCTAAAGAGGTTAATGTTTTCCAGCCTGTTTAAAAAAAAAAAAAGAAAAAAAAAAAAAGAAAAAAAATAACAACACAAATCACAAAAAAAACCAACAAAACAAGTGCAATACAGACTACAAACTGAGTAGGCAGAGTTCTGGGGAAGCAGAGGAACAGACGGTTTAGCATGTCTTACAAATTCTGTTACCTGGAATAGGTAACTCTCTGTGCACAGCCCCCGTACACACATGCACGCGCACACAAACACACATGTAGTGTGAGATTTATAGAAACATGGAAGGGAACGAAATATTTGGAGTGTTTTTATTTTCCAGACTCCAATTAACCAGGGCTATGAGTTGTTTTGTTTTATGAGTCACTGGAGCCTTGTTTGATTTACCGTGGGGTACCGGAAGTGAAACAGCTGGGGATTTTTCAAGTATTGATTTACAGAAGAGAGATTGAATCATCTCACTAAGAAAATCTTAACAAAATCCAGGCATACCCAAATTTCACCAAGAAGCCTGTTTTTTTCATAATGTTCCTGACAAGGGGCTTGTGAGGGTAGGACTGGGAGGGGGGAGGGCGCTCCATGACCTTTATTTGATGTAGAGGCATTTTTGGCAAATTTTGTACAAACGTTCTGCAGGTGTTTCAAGCACAAGTACTGGTGTGATTCATGCCTTCATAACCCCAAATCCAACATCCAGACCTTGCCACCCACACACATCATTTTCCATGCAGACATTCCAGGTTAATTTCATTCCATTTTACTCTAATCACAAGAAGCTGACCCATCTTTGGTGGGTTTCTGCTCCCTTGCTGATTCAGACACTCATGTATTAGAAATATACTTTTTTTTTTTTTGGTGTCTGTATCTCTGCTGCTCAATTTGCAACAGTCTCACTCAGTCTTGTAGGCTGATCCTTTCACATCCAGTCTGTTAGTTTATTACAGAGTCTATTCCATTCAATCATCCAAAAGAGAGTTAGTCTGAAGAGGGAGCACAGTTGCTGACTGACTGTGTAGCACTTCTAATAAGTCTCCTTCTCTGGGATATATCCTCGAAGGTATCGGTTGCTCTTCAGGAACATTCTCTTTCAATGCACAATGGCTGAATCATTTGTGGATATTAAAGGGACACTGTCAAGTACTTTTTAAATAGTTTTTAGGGTTTGGGCTTTTTTTACTCTCCATTGTTTGTAATATTCTCTTACAAGCTTGAAAATAAAATTTCTTTCCCTACCGATTTTGTCCTTTTCCATTTGGGCATGTATGGTTCTCTCCACTCACCCCATTCCTTTCACCATCCCTGTCCTTCTCCTCCCCACCTTTCTTCTGCAACAGGAGGAAATCTGTATTTCTGATTTCCTGCTGACTGTCCTCATTCTATGGAGGGTATGTCCCAGCTCTATGGGGTTGAGTTATTTTGCAGCTGTCACAGAGGAAGCATAAGAGCAGGAACCCTAGAAATACGGAGATTAGCTAATTGAGGAGCAAAAGCTCAGCTGTCACAAAACAATGACCCTATAGTGATCAAGCCTGAACCCGGCTCCCTCCAAAATCAAGATGATGTCTTCAGCCAAACTGCATCCATTTAGCAGCACTGCCAAGAAATGATGGCTGAATGCAGCTGCCCTCCATCATCATACCAGCACCTCTCGCACCTTCTGTGGAGACAAGGCAAACGTGGGCTACCAGCTCCTTTGGCAGCCAGGCTGTCACAGGTCTGGTGTTTCTGGACTGGAGAAGGTGTCAAACTTCAGCCTCTGTGTTTGAACACAGCAGCCATTCTGCAACACTGAAGATGGAGGTCAGCAGCTTAAGGCAAGATTGTATTTTTCACCTTGATTACTTGACAGTGTCCCTTTAAATATCAGAATGCAACAGAACAGGTACTTACTTCTCTGGCAGAGAATGTGGGAGGTGGAACACCGTCTGAGAAAGCCAGCTTACTGAGGACCAGTGTGAAACAGCATGGTTTCTGAGGCCACTGTACCTTTGTCTGACCAGACTTACTATCTACCAAAGAGTGCTTTTGGCAGAAGGGAGAAAAGAGATGGTGGTGGGCAGAGGGAGAGGGAAGGGGCAGTTCCAATCATTTCTGAAAGTAGCTATCCCCTAGAAGGAAGGTGTTGAAATGAATGATGTCTGGAAGAACTGCTTCAGTAGACAGAAACCTGGCCAAAGCAAGCAAACACAGCAGCCTCTTACCCCTATGCCTGTTCTGGAAGTTGTCCTCATTCCAAGAGATGGGGTAATTATAGTGTTTTTGGGAAGGGGGAACCATACACAGACGAAGGGACAGCTGTCACCCATGATGTCGTTTCCCTCCCTGCCCTCCACTCATTTAATATGGAGAAGTCAAATTCCTTTAATTTGGCTAACAGATAAAAATTTATGAGGTCAGAAGCACAACTTGCTGTGAAAGAGTGGTGTACTCTGAGCACACAGGACTCTGCATACTCTCACTCCAGCTCTGCCACTGACTCTGTAGCCTTGGGCTGTTTGGCTCAGTCCCCCCTCCACGCAAAGGGGGAATAACAATACGTACCTACCTCACAGGGGTGTTGTGAGAATCCACGTTGGTAAAGCCTGTTGAAGTGCTAAGTCTACCACCGGTAGTCACGAGGTGTGTGGTGGGGGTGAGCAGCGCTGCCCTTTTGCTGGTTACAGTCTGAATCACAGCGGGAGTCCCATCAGCCTTCTCCTGCTTGGAGACCCTCCTTGATCTGAAGTGGAGGCTGTCGTCCGAGTGCCCTCTCCTCCATTGCATGACATTTTAAGCGGCTGTGAGGTGCAGGGTAGCGACAGACATGAAGTCCTACTTGACCAGGGATTTGCTACAACGTTTTCTATATCTGTGGGGTTTGTTGGTTTGTTTTTTTCCATATATTGTGCTTAGAAATAAACTTTCCACTTAGGGCTGGCGGTTTGGGGTCTATTCTGTTGCATGGCAATGTATACAAGTCTTATTGTCTGTCTTACTGTGCAAATGATCCCGCAGCCCAGTTTCAGAGATGGGCATGGTCTGAGCCTTTTCACAGCGGCATAAGACTCAAAAGCCTGTCTAGACTGTTTAATATTTAAACAACACTATGAACTTGTCAATTGTATGTGTTCTGTGCAATACGAAGCATGTCATTAGCAGGCTTGATGGGCAGAGGGGCTAAAGGAAGGTCAAAACTTGTTCAAAGAGCTTCATACATGTGCCAGCATGGAGCCGAAGGGCTGCCACCAGCAAAGCAAACTCGGGGGAAGCCATTGGAAACTGTTTTCAGAACAGTTTACTCCAGGACAAGGTACTTCTGAGTTTATGAACTTTTAGGCTGCCAGCCTGAGAGAACAAGTGCAAATTTAGTGTGGGGGTTGGGGTTTTGAATTCGCTTTTTCTTTCCTCCTCAAAGTTTTGATGGCAGAAATACTGATGAGGATCTCTTCCCTCTTTAGCACACTTCTCTCATCTCCCACAATCTCCTTGTGCCGTCCCCTTTGTACTACTATGCAGGACTTTCAAAGGTGCAAATGGAGACAGTACGTTCCTGAGACATGAAAAATAAGTTGTGTATTGGGTGATTCTAGCAGATAGACAAGATGGGACAGAGCTATGCTATAGAGGCATCTCTTCTTCCCCATGTCTTTCTTCTAGTCTTGTCTGCTGGGTCCCTGAAGAGACGTTCCCTGTACTTTATTACAAAGCTGTCAGATCACCTTCCACTGACAAACAAAGCTTGCAGAGTTTGGCAGCTGTTTCTCCCACTGGAGAAAATTCTGGGTCCTATCACTGTGGAGACCCCTCAGTTCTTGGGCTTTGTGGTCCTCCAGCATTGTTTGGAGGAGTGGTCAGTGCGAAGGACTGTGTTCAGCCATCTTCAGAAACTGTGTGTGTATGGTCCTGCTCAGTCTTGTGATTTCTGCCAGTCCCCTGATTTTGTCAGCTTTGACAGGTCTTTTCTATCAAATGCTTTTCTGGTTATGTTCTTCAGAGGTGTTTTGCTCTGTGTCAGTTGCCAATGCTGTTATTGCCTATTGAAACATCAGTGCTGGCCTCCAGCTTCCACAGCTCTTCCATTCTTGCCATACTGTCTCTTGGTAAATACTACTGCCAAGTTCAAACCCTCTTCCTCTGTGCCTGCAAGGGGTCAAGCACATGCACTAACCCATGGGTCACCAAAGAACACAGGGACCCTTCAGAGCCTGTATCAGTAAGTTGAACTCTGTAACCATCAGTCTTTGATATATATATTTACTTTGCCAGTCTGTGTCTGCTGTTAATTGGTTGCTACAAACAAACCACTAACGCTGGCAAAACCCATATACCCAGCTAAGACTTGATTTCCAGTTCAAAATGTAAGAAACTATTGGCTGTTTTTCAGACAAATCCAGTGTGTTCCCTGTTGTGGTTTCCCAAGGAAGGTGGTGAAGAGGTTCTTGTTTGACCTTACTGTGATGGGATGGGCAACACATGGAAAGAGGAAGTCAGCAGTTTATATTTGAGTCAAGAGAAGTGTCAGCTGTCCTGTTTTCACTCAGGGAGACAGGAAAATACTACTTATGCTTACCAGATCCCTGGCCCTTCTCAAAGCCCTTGATCTGGCAGCAGTAAAACACTAGAGCCAATGGCTGTAGCTGGAGGACCATTCTGAAGACTTTCCGGTTCTGAAGACCATCCTTTCTCGCTCCTTCCTCTTACTCTTTTATGTTGGTCAAGCACTCGGAGGAAAACAGTCAGCAGTGCAACTGCCTAAGTGACTACTGTCTGAGTATCCTGATCTCCCCTCCACTGTCACTTCCCCTGTGACTGCTCCTTCTCATTCCTGAGGCAACAGATGCCTCATTCCCTCTGCCATCTCTAGACTGGCCCTGAAGATCTCATGAGCAGACACAGAATTCCTCCCAGACTAATTTTTAAGTCTTCTACATTCTTCATGTTCCCATACAGGCAAATTCATTCCACTGATAAGCAATGACATTCAAATCCTGAGAGGACAAGCAAGTGTAGGAGCCTATTGCATTGACCTTCACCATTTCTTGCATGCTGAAGGAAATATGGTGAAAACACCAATTGGTTTCCTCCATTTGGCAGCAATGGACCAGTGGCTCTAGGAATATTTCCCTCAATAATGCAAGTCTGACATGCAGCAGTTACTGCAGGCAGTCTTTGATCTCACATCTATCATGTCGGATAAAAGAAGAGCGGAATCTGACAGGTCTGTGCTGTTTACAAAAACATCAAAAACTACCTTAGTTCATTATTCAAATTACCTCCAGGTCAGTGGGTGAATTTCTCCTTGATGAAAGAATGAGGTTTTCTCTTTCAGAACTGGAATTATATATAAGATTATATATATATGTAAACACATACATATATACTTATAAATGTTATCATGAAAACAAAAAGAAGAGAAAAAAACCCCTAAATAAACCTAAAATAATACTTGATTTGTGAATAAGCCTTGACAGGAGCTAGGGAGTTGCTGTGTGGAAAATGCAACACAGGGTTCGACTTCAGGCAAATAGAAGACAGAAGAGGGAAATACTTTTATGGTTCTCTTGGCCTGTCTTTAGTTCATGCTCGTTATTGTATAGCACTTAATTAAGACAGAAATATGTGGAAAACAGACTCTCAGCTCCAGCAGCAGGAAACAGACTAAAGACACTTCATACATATCTGAGCCATACTCAAACAAGCACAATGATGCAAAAGCACAAATAGCTGCCATCACAACTGCTTGAAAAGAGATGGATTTCTAAATGGGACATGAACCCAGACAGAAATTCTTTTCCAAGCCACATTGTCAGTATTTTTCCCATATTTCTTATTTCAAAAAGGAAAAAAAAAAAAAGAGAAAATTAAAAAGGAGGGTTCTGCTACCCAAGTCTTAAAGAAGTAAGTAGCAGTAGAGAAGATGCTCCTTTATATGTTATATTATGTTATGCATCAAGATGTGCTTTGCCAAACAGAATTAGGGCATCACATTCAGTTCCCTGATCGCTCAAAGAAAATCTCAGTGACCAAGTCTGCTCAAGGAGAATTCCTAGAGTGTAGACTTCTCCAGAGGACCAGAGCTTCCATCTGGACGGGATAGCTGGCAACAGGCTGTTTGCATCCAGCTGCACTCTTCTGTGGCAGGATCACCACCTATTGTTAGCAAGTCACTGTTGGGCAGCTTTGATCAGCTGATACAGGTTATGATATTAATAATCACAGAAATTGCACATGCCCATCGTGCTCCTGCAAGTGACTTGTCTCATTCTTTCACAGCTCAAGCTGGTGAGAGCTACTCTGGTCTTTGGTCTTCATCACAGGAGAGCTTTCCTTTAAAATCCAGCCTACCACACTTCTCTGGGAGTTTTTCTACTACACTTTATAGAGGTTCTTCCTATAAGGATGAACAGACTTCTAACTAACCCACATGATCTTATTTTCCAGCTAGAGAGACAAAAATCCATGTTCTCTGACCAGCTGATCTCAGTACCTATGTTCTTAAGAGATTATATTCCCCCTCCCCTTTCACTCAGTACTCCATAATCTTCGCTTTCCTTTTGAAAGGGGTGATTCATTGCTACCAAATGGAAGAACATTTCTCTGAGATGGGAGTCTGGACAGCCCTTCTACTCCTTGCTAACAGGCACACAAACCTTCCTCCCATCCCTCTAGACTGATGTGGCCAGCAGAACCCTTTTTCATGGAGTTTCACTTCTTGATCCAGAAGAACAACTGCTTTCAAGCATCTCCTTCACTGCTATCAAGCTGTGGGATAATGGCATGGGGAACCTTTTGTTTCTTAGCCTCAGGGTAACTACAGTGGATGATGTACCTGAGCCAAAAACACAGCAAGGACAAAGCATTTGTATTTTAGATGGTGGTAAACCTGGGTGAGGTTTGTTCTGATGACAGGAGAACAAGAATCTTTGTCAGCTTTATATGGTAGCAAATCAAAATTGCCTTGTTCCCTAGTGTTTTTAGCTCATTTACATCAGCTCTCCATTATAAACAAACCCTTTTGTAGGCAATGCAGGCCAGGCCTGGGGAGGAAACCTTCCTCATTCCAGAAGCACAACCAGCCCGTAGCTATGCATCAATCCCTTCAGGACTTTTGCCCCTGAGAGGCTGAGTGCAAGAATGGAGGTAGCTAGCAGGGATGGCAAGAACACTTCCCTGGATCTTCATCCCCAGTGGGTAAATTTTGCATCTCTACATGTGAATCCCTTTTGAAATCACTCCCAAGGCCTCCTTCACTACTACAGGGTCTGCCCAGGAGAGGAAGCAGTGTCTCTGCATGGATACCCCAGGTCTGTTGCTGGGATCCTCATTCAGGCCTCCAAGAAATCCCTATGTTCACTGAGGTTTAAGATGAGTCAATGGTGTGTTCATGCAGAAATACTCTCTTTGAGACTACTACAGAGATGTCTGTGGGGTTGGGAGGGAGGGGGTGGTTTTGTCCAGGCAGGAAGCACGGGGAAGGGAAGGCTGCAATGTAAGGAAAAATCAGCCACAAGGGAGGGGCTGACTAAGAGGAATGACCATGTCGACTGTGTTACTGTCCCGTCATTCTCCTGAACCCAGAATGGAAACTTCCAAGTGCTCTTCATGAGCTTACGTTTATTAGAAAACTATTCCTGGGTGTTCAAGATTGTTTTCTAATGAAAATATAATAAAAAAAGAAAATTAATGACTCTTGGTAATCTTTTCCTTTCCTCTCTTCACTTCTAACACATTGTAAAATTCATGTCCTTTCTCATTTGTTTGCTATAATAAAAACTCTTTCTTTCTGGTCACAGTCCACACAGGGCCTTACACAGTAAACTTTTATCTTTTTACACATCAGCAGCCAAGACTTTGTATAAGGACATTTGAACAAAGGGCCAGGGCTCAGCATGCATAGCATAATGTGTTAGCACTTTGACTTATCATTTGTTTACGGCATTAAACAGCAAAAATTGTTTACCAAACATCACTATAACATTCCTGTGTAGTGTCTTCCCTATGTTCAAGAGAGAAGCTTGAGGCAACCATGGTAAGTACATGCATCTATTTTCAGAGTATCCACCCTGATGTGCTGAGTCCTTCCCAGGGACTGTACAGAACTACCCTCAATAGAGAACATGTCCTGTCCAAGCAGTGCTGGAGTCAAGCTCTACTCCAGGGCTTCCATACTTCTGGTCCAGGATATCTTCTGCAGATTGCTGTGGAAACACCAAGACACAGGGAATGCTCAGATCAAGCATGCACAGGGAGAGGGAGGACAGTGGAAACAATCAGCAATGACACGGTTGGAAAGGAGGTGGTAAAGAGCTGGGCTAGATCCACAGCTCCCCTCCTGAGTGCACATGGGAAGCCAAGCTGTGCCCCAGGACATCTTCTGAGGCTGCCCTTTGTTTCTGAGGTGCCTGCTGAATGCCTAGAGCATCACTTGTCAAGTGCCCAGTGCCATCAGCCACACAGCCCTCTGATCTCAGGAGGAAAGCAGGGGCAGTGTTTCACCAGAAGATGGTCACAAGAAGCTCTGAAAACTTTACTCATGCCAAAAGATTACTGAACTTTCCCATGCTTGCACATGTGAGGATACTGCTCTGTAGAGGTAGGCAGTCTGTTCCTCATCCAGTCCCTGGAAGCAGTTAAGTCCTTTTCTTCTCTCACTTTTTTTTCCATTGTTTAAAATATAGGTCTATTCCAGTAAGTCTATTGAAATGCAGGAAGACAGAGAGGGAGAAAAGAACAAACAGAGAAAAGGAAATAAGCAGGACAAGGAGGTGCCTGTGGAGAAACAGCTGTGCTAATCAGAAATGAGGGACAAAAAAGAGGAAGGACTGTAACAGTGGGAGCAGGGATAAGAGTGGTGGAGAGAAGGAAGATACATGAGGAGACTGGTGGCAACTATTAATTACTGCAGTGATAAAACTGATGTCTTGAGGTCCTAAAGGATCCTCTGGGAAATGAGGAAGAAGCCATGAAACATGGACAAACTGGACTTCAAGGAGCCCTGTCCAATCTGCCTTTCTATGAGACCAGTATCAAAGCTGGTTCCGTCACAGACTGCAGCCTGACAAAATAACTTCTTGCTTGATCACATCCCCTGATTAACAAAAACCTGCATCACCCAGACTAGACAAACAAAAATTACTGCACACAGCTTACCTCTAACCCAATTATTCTTAATAGAATGTATTATTACTAATTCAAGGTGGCCTCCAAGGGCTAGTTTTATTCAGTGCACACAGCTCCACTGCTAAAAGCCATCATGTGCCCTGCACCTGCTCAGACCAAAAGTAATTTCCTACACCAGCCAACCACGGCTCTGATGAATTGTAGCAGCTGTAACACACTGCAGTCTTTACCACCTCAGTGGATTTCAAGAGAACAGGGATACTGAAACACTGGGTTGCTCTATAGAGATGTAAGGTAGACTGTAAAACTAGGTTTGAGTGATTTTGCAGCCTGGATTCTCTCACACACAGAAAGGAGTGTTGCCAAAATATTGGGATCTGAGCTCAAGCTGCAAAATTCACAGCAGAATTGCAAAGATCAGAGTCTTGAGAGTAAAAAGCTTTAGAGGCAAGGTGGTGGTAGGAAGATGTTTTAACCCCTGGAAACATGGAAGTATTTTGGTTTAGAAATGGGAGGAAATTTCAAAACCTAAAAGATGTAGGTATCATCTGAATGGGAATGTATTTACCTGAACCTTAAAGAGAAAATAATCTGGTCTGAGAATTTCAAGCAGAAAGTCAGTGCCTCCCATCCAGAAGTTACTGGCCATTTCTAGAGGCAATATAACAGCTGTCCACTCAATGGCCAGAGAATGCCCATCTCTAAAGAAGATGGCAAACAACTGTCTGCAATTGCAGTGGTAAAATTCCCAGTGTAATATAAGCCTATCAGACAACAAGTTTATTAATTTTGAATGAGATCACCTAAGGGGCTGACATAAATCTGACTGAAATCAGCAGGATTTTGCCTCAGGCTTGAGTGGGCAAGATGGTAAGATCAGGGCTGTGCCCTTGGGCATTTTGTTCTCCCAGCTCCTCAGTACTTTTCTGCTTTTGCAATCCTTAAGCAAGAGCACAGGAGAGCAGTAAATGGATCAGCTCTGCGTGTTCAACTGAGCCTGTCTTGCTGCAGGATTAGCAAAAATTACTATTTCAACCATACAGCCCCCAACCCACCCACTTCCCTCATTGAATCAATAGCCTTTAATTTTAAAGCATCATGTTTGGAAAAAAACCTCGTGTGAATCTACACAGCTACATCCAGTCATGCATACATATGTAAATACGTGCTGGTGTGAGGTGGCACTGCTCAGGAACACACCAAGTCAGTGCAAGGCTACCTGAGATGACTCCTGGAATCCTTTGTCTTACTGCCCCATGAACTGGCATCAGCCAAAGTAGAAACATAGTTAGGTATCTGCATCTGCAGGGGAAAAGAGCTTGCTCACAGGCAGATATGGTAGGTCAACTGAAATATTCTGAGTTCTTACCAAGGTCAGTTACATTTGTAAACAAGGCCTCCCATCCTCAAAAAGAGCCAAAAGTAGCTCCATACATCCAGGCAAGACAGTCATAGAGTTGCACACCTTACAGAGAAAAAACGAAGTATTTAACTCACTCTCATTTCAGGTTTATCTGGGAGCAACAAGCACTGATTACTTAATATAAACAGTGTCCTGGGTATTTAATGCATTAAATAACAACAGAACTCCATAAACTCATTTGTTTTATATACTTTTTTTTAATGCCCAAGCCTTCTCTAATTTGTGAATGTTGTGAACTTTATTGCATCACTAAAGCCTTATCAAACTTTGCAGCAGTCTCAGGTCAGAGCATAATGGATCATTTTCAAAACTATAACTGATGTACAGGGAGGCAAAACTATTTCACTCGAGTGCCACTTTCACATACAATACATGTCTTTTCCATTCAGATAAGGTTTCCCAGTGGTCAAAGATGCCAGATATGGAGCTGTCTCTGCTCACAGCACATGGAGTGACCTTCGAAGCTCTTTCTGTCTTCAATCCCCAGTAAACCACCTTTGCGAGCTGAGCAATGCTTAAGGCCATCTATTTCCACCTGCCTTTGTATGTATTTAATGTAGTCATCTACAGCTACAGCTCACCCAAATTTATACATCTAAAGGCCACTTGTCAAATTCTAAGCTTCCTTAGTAATCATCAGAGAAAAATAGGTGCCTCCTAGGAATTATTCATCTCAATTGTGCTCTGCACCAAGCTGCCCACACAGTTGTCTAGTATGATTTGAGATGCTTGACTGGCCTCCATTGTCTCAATTTTAAATTGACACCTATCTGTAAAGTTAGGAAAAAAAGCACCTTCCCCTTTTTTGCATGTACTCTGTATCCAGCAGTTGCATCAGTCATCTTTCCCCTAATTTTATTAATCAGAGGAAGCAAGTTTAGCTGCCCAGGCTGAATACGAGACATGGTCCCCAAAGCAGTTTTTTCTTTACTTACTGAGAAAGGGAGAAGGAATCTACAACTATGAGGTTCTCCTACTGTCCACAGTCAGCATGAGACTTCAACTACCAAACCTCATCCTGCAGTTAATTGTGCTTAGGGTCTACAGATCATTACATCTGTTGCTTGAAACCTGCCTCCTATTCTCAAATTTGCTTCTGAATTTGCAAAAGTATAAAGTAAAATACTGTTCAACTTTTCCTAAAAGTAAAAAAAAAACATTTCCTAGGCCAATTTAGCACCTCAAACTACTGTTACCTCCTGAAAATTCAGGCCTGAATTTCTAAACACTCAGGGGAAACCCAGGATTTTTGAAACAGCAAATGGCTGTGGATGAAGCCTGGCAAAAAGTTGTTCTCTAAACAGCAAGGCAGCTAGTCCTATGCCTGTCACCATTGTGACTCTCATCATTACAGCACATCTTGTAACATAAGCTTCTTCCGGAGCTTTGGGGAATAGTTTGTTTACCTGTTTACAGCCTGCAAAAAAAACCTGAGAAAACAGACAAGTAAAGGTAGAAAGAGGCTGAGTACCAGACAAAATGGAGCAAGTAAAGCTATCACAGCCAACAAGCTGGCCTGATGGAAAACACAACCTCATGCTAAAGCACAGCCTCAGCATTAGAAATCATGCTTGAAAATGTTTAACTAAGGCATTTGTCCGACAGCCAAAGCAAACAAGAAGAGGCCCATGGAGGTGTTTTGCGGGTTTAAAAAACAATTTGCAAGGCTGAAGGAGATCATGGGCTCAACAAGCCAAAGTGCCCATTAAATTTTCCTAAGTAACGAATCTCTGAAAGGGAATCATTCATGACCTTACATGACAAGGGAGAGTTCTGCACCCAGGAGACAGTCCTTGGACTGCCTTTCTCAGCTACCTGAACAGCAATCCTCCTCTCCCATCACTTGACCTGCAGCCTGTCTCAGCCTCCCATTCTGGAAAGCCAAGATGTGCTTCCTGCAGGGCAGAAGCAGATGTCACTGGCTTCCTATCCCCACCAACAAGTGGGCCTTGGGCTGAGCTCACAAGCAGTGATGGGATCGTCCCTGACCTGCAGATGCACATCAGAGGGTACCAGCAACCCTGTTCCTTGCCATGGACTTGATTTGAACACATCATATTACACTAAAACTACAGCCCAGGAGGCATTGGAAACATTCATAGTATACTCTCAGCACTCTGTTTCTGAACATCTGTAAAATAATCCCATTACTTCACCTCTCCAGAAAAAAAATAAAAATCCACTGTTTCCTTTGGCATCTGTCTCCACACTTCTTGCACACTTTTCTCTGCCCTGTGGTGGTGGTGGTAATTGCTGCTGTTACTGAGATGCACAAGATTATGCAACTGTCTAGCATTTTGATTTAATCAGCATGGGGAGAAAACCTGCTCCAAATTCTATTAATAACTACCAGCCAGCTCCCTCCTTCCCTCCCGCCCCAAATTCCCATGGAAGGAGGATCACAGGCAGATCCCTGCAAGCACAGACTATCAGCCTGACTGGATCAATAACATCCATGGTGCCAGGAATCTGCAGTGAATTCTGGGTAATTAATCTGCCAGGGAAAGACAACCTTAATTAAGAACAGCCAAGCTGTTCTTTTCCCAAACCTCGCGCTTAATAAAGTCACAGCATTGGTTTAGCTGAGGATTTTGGTCTAAATTTTACTGGGTTTTTTGTTCCTAACAAATGTTTCAAAAGCAACAATGCAGGCAGCAGTAAAGTCTTCATTCAATAGTCAGAGATACAAACTCTTTACCTCCTTGATGCCACATTAAAGGTGAATGATCTCATTATTTAAGATATCTCAGTGCTGGAGAGAAGCACTGGTTTCACAGCTGGCATGGACAGTGATGTGGAGAGGTTGCCTCCTTCCTCATGTAAGGGGCCACAGTTGAGATAAAGCTGTGACCTTCCCTCAACTTCTTAGGAAGAGCATCTAGGACAAACGTTTCCTCAGCAGGCCAAAGTCTCTGCTTTTTCACAATCTTTCAAGGTAGTCTGGGAAATATAATTTCAGCCCTATCAGGCTGCAAGCAGCCATTTGGATACGGACAGTTGTGCAGGTCACTCCGAAGTTATTGAGGCAGTTGCTGCCACAAGACAGTCAGAAATCCTCCCAGGCATTACGTGATGATTTAGGAGGAGCACTGGTTATGTTTCAGATACACAGAATTTAAGTTCTTTCTTCTTTTGCTTCTGGTTCTATCTCAAACTCTTCATTTCATGCATGATAAGTATATCTATAGCAACACTTATTCAGTGTGCTCAGGACCTTTTTCTGGTGCCAATGTCAATTGGTACAGACTCAGCCAAGTCAAAGTTCTTATTCCTCAGGGCAAAAAAGGCCAAAGTGTCTACTGTTCCTGACCAGTGTCAACTTCTGAATTTTGCTGGGTACTCTCATGCTGACAGCTTGGGCCAAAAGCATGTCAAAAGCTTTGTTAAAACTTAACAAGATGAGCCTGGGAGTGTTTCCTGGGCATCCATTCACGATGAGGACATGTCTCAAATGACCTTGGTAGGGCATATTTAGAAAGACCCAAGAAACTCCTCCCAAACTGGCACTATATCCCAGCAAGGACTTAGTCAGCTGCTAACAAAAGCCTCCTAAAGCAATTTGCACATCCAGTTTTGAGAGCCTAAAAAGGTGTGTTCCAGAGACTTTCAAAGGGATCTCTGATTTCACCAGCCCTGCTCATCTTTGCAGGTCAAACTCTAGTCCTGTCTGAAGCCAAGGGGGGCCTCCATATTTATTGGCAAAAAACAGCATTTTCCCTGATGGTATCCTGGACAGAGGGTAATTATGGTAAAGACTGATCAAAATCATTTAACTCCTACTGTGGGGACAGCATCATGACAGATAGATTAAAGATGTCCTTTATAAACTTGTCAGAGCAAGAGAACATGATAATGAATGAGTTAATTACACCAGCATCTGAGGCTGATACTACCCATCTGCCACTTTGATTAATTAAAAATCTGATGGACAACAATGAGGCCCTTCTCAGGTCTGAAAGAAATTAATTGCCAAAGTCCTCAGTAAATCTAACAGCATCACTGACTGAGCTGTCAGAAGAGTCCACTTTGAACAGCCCCAGAAGAGAGGCAGCAGAGCATATCATGGAGTTTGAAGCATCCCCAACATGATGCATTAATCTTTTGGTGTTGCTGGGAGCTGCGGCCTAGCAATTTTAACTTCTTGTTTAATCACCTTTTCTTTCCTCTCAACGTAAGAAGGTGCAGTCTCAGTAAAGGACATGAACTGCTGAGGAAATCAAGGGCTTTGGCCCTTTTTGTCCTTTGTCCAGATTCCCCAAGCTGTAATGAATGGATTAAATTTTTGCTCTTGAGTGTCTGTTCTCCTTGGACTAGTTGTAACCAGTAACAAAGAGGGGTTTTGGAAACGCAATGGGAAATCAAACTCTTCCAATGCTTCCTGTGTTCATCAATCAAAGCATGACAACAATCAGCAGCAGTTGCTCAGGAAGTGGTGGCAAACTGGGCACCTGTGGGCCCAGTTAGGAAGACTCTAGGAAACCAGACACAAACCATGTGTCCTGATTCCACCAGAGCAAAGACAGGGCATGACAGAACCACAGAACATCCTGAGAAGGAAGAGACCCAGAAGGATCATTGAGTCCAACAGGATGAAGCTGATTAAGGCACTTTCTACTTTGAGAAATCCTAGACTCCAGAATCACTTTCCAAAGAAGGGAAAAGAGGAAAGCCCTAGTGTACAACCATTTAAACCCAAAAAAATGTTGTCACTGTACTGCCAAGAAAATGCCCACAGCCAGAGGGGAGGAATTAGTGCTTGTCACTTTTTGCCTTCTGTCTGCACAGAAGTTTTACAAACTAAGCACCAACCACAACACAATGGGTTTTTGAGGGAACACCACAAAAGCCCACTTTCTTGTTCAACAAACAGAGATAGAGGGTACCAGATTGTCTTCAAAGCCAGTGCAGCTCACACATGTGGTTTGGAGACCTGCAAAAGGTGCTGCTTCTTCAGAGAGATGGGGAGAAAAAGCCTTTCCTTCCATTTTTATCCTACTTACACATTGTTAAGTAGTTCTTGCATTTCACCTAGAACAGTAACAATTGAGGAACTAAAGCTTCCTCATACTACAGATCCAAGACAATGATTGATAACAATTATCAGCAGTGATTAGTTAACATGGCCCTAATGCAACAATCCCACTGCCTGCCAGTCAACTGGGGGCATCAGTGCATTGGCTCATGAAAGCTGCTCTCATTAAACACTGCCTGACTTCTGAGAACAAGAGAACAGTCCTCTGCAGCACCAGCTCAGCTCAGCATGATGCAGCTGGAACTTCCCATAGCTTCCCAGGTTGGAATGGAACAAGGAACAGCAAGTTTTGACATGCTGAAGTAAATACAGAGACCACTGCTTTATGATCATAGAATGGTTTGAGTTGGAAGGGACCTTAAAGATCATCTTGTTTCAACCTCTCTGCCCTCCAAGACACATCCAACCGGTCTTTGAACATTTTCAGGGATGGGGCATCCACAACAGGAAACCTGTTCCAGTGACTCACCACCCCCACATTAGAGGGAGGGTGATTATACCCAGGGTGCATGGTTCTTGCTTATTGCTGGGTCTTTAGTTCAGTAATTGAAAAGGAACCATACTCACAGGGCTCTTGTTTCAAATTACAGTACCTGGTTCTTACAGTGTTTCAAAAGGCTTCAGTACAGAAAGGAACTTCTAACATACAACTAAAGTAACAACAGGCCCCTTTTCCAGCTACAGAAAAAGAGGAAAACAGTTAAGGGAAGAAACAGATCTGAAATGGGGAAGGCACTTTCCAACATATGCCATGGCCATTTGCAAATAGTAATATAACTCTTTATATCTCCATGTAAGCAAAGAAGGGTGAGAGACAGATGCCACATATATACCTATATTTCTCAGGAGAAGAATGGAAGAGAAATTAGAACAGACCAGATGTTCAAGGATTAAAATTTTTGAAGAGTAACCAAAACACAAGGAGCTGTTATTGCTCAGGTGAGCCCCAGCTGCCTCAAGGTATATCTGTATCATGCAGAACAGAAGTATGCAAAAGTGCCCTAGGCACCTCAGAAAAGCCAGCTAGGTCAGAGCTATGCAAGTATCTCTTCTGAACACTGTGCTCCCCTGAGCCCAAAGGGCAAGAGGAGGTTAATCTTCCACTGGTGCATTTTAAGCCATCTTCAGGAAGCAGATAATGTGGCATGTCTCTGCAGATCAGCTGACGTGACAGATAGGTACAGACATGTGCATCCACTGTGGAATGAACCCATTACTCAATCTAAGATTTGGGTCAGATTTTCTGACTCCACCTGCAGCTCAACTAAAGACCACTCCAAAAACCAGAGAGCAAGGGTGGGGTAGAGATTTGGGGTTTTCATATATTTTTGCTTTCTAACCCTTTCAAGTATTACATAGAATAACTCATAGAATTCTCCAAGAGCCTTTCCCTTGTCCAGCCTCAAAAGACTGCACATTCAGGAAAAGAGAAACCATGCTCCAAGGACAGAGATTTTTTTTTTCTTTGTCCCAGTTTTATTTAAGCCCATTTCACAAACTGACTTAGCTCCCTGCAAAAAATCATGTTAGAAGAAACACTTTGCATAACAACATTAAAACCTTACCATGCACTGCAAAGAGAACCATGGTTCCAGGCTCCCAGCAGTGTTTGGCCATTAGAAGATAAGATGGGGATGTGAGTATAACATCAGCTTCAAATTTCTTTCTTACCACTGTCAGTTTGAAGTAAGCCCCAATGTTATTTTTACTCTCTGTATAGACCAGGTGCTAGAAGAACTTGGTGTAACCTGTCACACTGCAAAACAAGTGTCATATTGAATTAGTGATTCTCTACTACACTTCTGTACTGTTCTTCCACAAGTAGGCATGTAGTAAAAGAGTAACAAAAAAATTAAAAAATCACTTTCTAACTCCTATTTTATAAATCAGTTAATACCTCCAGTTACATAGCATTATTGTCATGGACAGTCACGAGAAGCACTAAATAGACACTTGTTAATTAGATTCTGAGTTCTCAATGTCAGAAGAATGTCTCATTTGTACCTTTAGAAGCTGTGAGGAGGAAGAGGAGAAACCAAAACCAACTTTTCTCTGATGTAGTATAGTTCTTGACTAACCAGTTACTGCAGTAACTGCCTTACTTTTGTTATAGACCCATCTGGATACGTAGAGGGACTTATTTTATTCACAAGAATATACAAAACAAGCATCTCTCTGATGAAGTCAATGAAATTGTATTGGTATGCAAACCAGCAAAAATAACATCTAAATGCAACACATGGCTTCTAGCATTTTTATCTTGATCTGAGATTTGCAATCACAGATGATGTCTCAGACCATTCACATATGGCTGGAGTTGAGCAGTTTGGTCTGGTTCAGCTGATAAGAACTCAGATCAAGACACAAAAAACACCATTTAGGTTTGAGGTAATTAGAGATAATAATTTTTGATTCAAGCTCACCTCTAATTTGACCTGATTTTGCCCTCACTCATGTATATAATACAACTTTTAATATCTTCTTCTCTAACAAAATTATTACACTTTTTTCATCTCTTTCCATCTCATGTACTTACTGCATTTTCACAGTTCCTTCACAGGCGGCCTCTGAGCCAGGTGTTCCTTCTGAGGCACAGAAAGGGGAAGGATGGCTGTCCAAGGAACTGTAAAAGGTATGTTGAATCTACCAAAGGGTTCAAGAACTGCCCACTAAGTTACTCTCAAGCAAAGGAGCACTGAAAGTGCATTCTCCTTCTAGCACAAAAACTGAGCAAGGCAAAGGTGTACCAGCACTGAAAGACAAGTTTATGTGATGAGCAGCATTGAAAACTGAGGTTAAAGTCCTGTTCAAAGCTCTGCTCAGAGAACTGACCCAAACACTTCCCCTGAGGGCAGAACACCGCAAAATTACAAGTAAATCCCATAAGCCCTAATCACAAGTATCACCCATTAGCCAACAGAATACAAAGTATGTTTGCTAGCACATAAGATCTTGAAAATGTTTTTATAGGCTTTGCTTTGCCAAGCAGAGAGCAACACCAATTCTAGTGACACATTCCTGCATTTTCTCCTCCATCAGCCACACTGCAGCAGACAGCAAAGAGTGCATGAACAACCCCTTGCATTGAAGCAATTGTGTCTGGAGCCCTCTTGCAATCTCATACGGAATTAATCATGAACAGATGATTAGATTCCTTTGATAGTTTTGAAAATGCTTTTTAGACATTTTAAAAAGCAATCAAGGGAGTGATCGCCTATTAGAAAGGGATTATGTTCTCTTTGGAGTGAGGATTTCAGGCAGCTGCATGAGACAGCAAACACCTACATACTGGGCTACAGCAGTGTCCTGCTTTTGGCTGGGAGAGAGTTAACTTTCTTCTTAGTAGCTGGTACATGGCTGTGTTTTGGATTTACTGTAAGAATAATGTTTATAACTCACTGATGTCTTAGCTGTTGCTAAGTAGCGCTTACCCTAAATCAAAGACTTTAGTTTCTGATGCTCTGCCAGCAAATAGGTGCACAAGAAGCCTGGAGAATGCATGGCCAGAACAGCTTACACAATCTGACAGAAGGGATACTTACCACAGAACCTCATGCTCAGTATATAAACTGGAGGGATTGGCCAGAAGGTGCTGATCAGTGCTCAGGAACTACTGGGCACTGAGCACAAGTCAACTTGGTGCCAACAAAGAAGGAAAATCCTACAATGGGTTTTCCTCAGGTATCAGACCACCACCTTGCTCATTGCTAGATCAACCAAGCACAGCTGCTCTCTCAGCCACACTACACAAAACACAGCTCCTCCCAGGCAACAGTAACCCCAAAAGCAGGCTGAAACTTCTGCTTTAGGTTCACAATTTTAAGTTGACATCTCTGCAGCCTGCACCAGCTTGCACCAGTCTTGAAAGCATATATGGATGATGCTCTTTCCTTCCTCATGCCAATGTATAGATCAATATGAACCTCTTTATTCATCTAATTATAGCTGCAGGGGGGCTCTTTGCAGCTCAGGTTCATTTGTCTCTCTGTGACGTTAATACAATCAGGCACAAGGATCACTTCATTAAAAGATCATCTATGCTTGATCTCATTTGAGCTATAAAAAATCACTCCTTTGTCATACAAACTATATGGTCAAAATTGCCATCAAGCTAGATGACTCACTGTTAACCCAGGGAGCAGAGTTCAGCTCCAAAGAGCAGCTGGAAGGGGAGATGTCACTAAATAAACACAGCACTTCCACCATGATTCAGATGGAGGATACATCCACTGTACAGATAAATGGGCACTCTACAATCAGGTAGCGGGAGGAAATGAGGAGTACATTGAATGTAAGGTGCAGAGTATCTGTGGCAGAACCCAGAGCAGAGCCTAGCTCTCCTTTACTGTAAAATGATGTCCTGTTTTATTTTTGTTTTATCCACCTCCCTCTACCTTCCTACTACATATCCCTCCTGAAGTGCTAAACACGGT